GGCGGCTAGGATCTGAAACCAACTTCCAAGGGAAGTGGTGATGGCTCCTACCCTGGGGGTCTTTAAGAGGAGGCTGGGTGAACACCTCACCGGGGTCGTTTGACCCCAGTACTCTTTCCTGCCACGGCAGGGAGTTGGACTTGATCTGCTCAGGTCCCTTCTGACCTGACCAACTATGAAACTATGACTTTCTTCAGCCCTGTGATGCACCGCAGAGGAGGACGTGCTGGACTTTGCTGGGTTTTGCTGCCTGGTGATGTGCAGGCACAGCTGCTTCTCTGCGCTCTGCTCTTTCCTCCTCGGGGACACATATTGCTGTGATCTGCAGCCCCACACCAAGCAGTGCAGGAACAGGATGCTCGCCTCACCGGGGTCGTTTGACCCCAGTACTCTTTCCTGCCACGGCAGGGAGTTGGACTTGATCTGCTCAGGTCCCTTCTGACCCGACCAACTATGAAACTATGACTTTCTTCAGCCCTGTGATGCACCGCAGAGGAGGACGTGCTGGACTCCGCTGGGTTTTGCTGCCTGGTGAGGTGCAGGCACAGCTGCTTCTCTGCGCTCTGCTCTTTCCTCCTCGGGGACACTCATGCCCTGTAGCAGGTCCTGCGAGCATCCCGTTCCTGCACTGCTTGGTGTGGGGTGCACATGCCGACTGATTCCCCACCAGTCGCCTGTGCTACAGGGGGAAGAAACCCGGTTCTAGCTCTTGGAGGACAAGCACCAGTTTGATAGCTGAGCATCTCAAGAAGCCACAGACTCGGTCATGCTGTCTGCGCCCTGGCCCTGAGCTGCTGTTGAGGAGATCTGTGACAGATAACACGTGGTTTTCCCTGGAACACCCCTCCCTGCTTGGGAACGTCCCTTGCCCTCTCACCGTGTGGCAGAGCACGGCCCTCCTGCTGCATCTGCTCTCCCCAGGGTAGGTGAGAATAGCTCCAGGGGCTCCTGGTCCGGGCACTCAAACAGGGGTGGGTCACGGATAGCTTCGCCTGTCCAGTTATTCTGTGAAGCAAGGGGGGCTTCACACAGCACTTCCAGCTCCTGGGACGGACTCAAGCAAAGCGGTCATGGGGGCTGGAGCTTATTGCCCCTTAGCTCTTGGCTCTGGAGAGGGGAGAGGAGCAAGTTAAATAGGTAGCCAATTCAAAACAGTACAATAGGGTTCCCCCTGCAAGGAGGTTGTGGACACTTGTGGAGTGTGTGCAAGCACGCAGGCCGTCCCCTTCCTGGATGCCAGCAAGCCCCAGGCGAGTCCTGCTCAGCCCAGGGGAGATGGTTCCCTTTCCTGGGTGCAAATGTGATTGCAAATGTGATCAGCAGTGGCTCCTGGCCAACACCTGGAGAAGGGAGCGGGGCAGGAAGGAGGGGGGCCAGGGGCAGACTTGCATCAGCTGAAGAGATGCAGACCTGTGGGCTGGCCCTGCCTGCTTTGCATGTTCACATTTTCCCTCATCCCCTCCCTCCTCCCAGCCTATAAACCCACTGGGCACCGGCAGTGGGCACCGACTGCACCAAACTCCTTGCTCCGGCGGACCAGACCCCAGAGAGGTGCACAGGTGAGTCCTGGCCCCAGCCCTTGTCCCCTCTGTGCCAGGGCCGGGCCTTCAGAGCAGCCCTGACTGGGGCCTGGGGGCCGCACGTGCTGTGCGTAAGGCACCCTGGGGGGGAGTCACTGTGTCCCCCTTCCCTAAGTGCTGCCCTTGTACCCGGCCCCGTGGGTCAGTGCTGAGCACCCGCTCCCTGGGAACCTGCTCCCAGGGTCCCTGCCCTGCCCTGCCCTGCCCTGCCCTGCGGTGCTGGGGGGAGTGGAGGGGAGGAGAGCAGAGGGAAGGGTCCGTGGGGCTGCAGCTGGAAGGTCCTTGGCCCCAGCCCTGGGTCACAGACCCCTGCCGCCCCCCTGCCCAATGTAGATTTCCCTGGGTCCAAGTTTTGGGGCCAGGCTGGGCTCTTGCACAGATGCCCCAGTCCTGCAACACCCTGGGGGAGGCAGGGAGAGGTCCGTGTGAGGCACAGCTCAGGATCCAGGCCTTCAGAGCAGCTCTTGTATTCTAACCCAGAGCACTTCAGTGTGCCCCTCATCTGACCTTGTGCTACTAGATGAGGATGTATATTCCTCCTTGATGTAGAGCACCACACCCCCACCTTTCCTCCCTGTCCTGTCCCTCCTATACAGCCTATAGCCCTTGATATTCACTGCCCAGTTGTGCATTGAGTCCCACCGTGTTTCTGTGAGCTCCACTATGTCTGGCTTGGTGTCAGCTAGCTGGAGGGTAAGTTCCTGGGGCCTCGGCAAGAAGGGCCCTTCCCCAGAGACCCCGGAGTCGGGCTGCAGCAGGGACCAGCGTGTCCCCCCGGGAGACAGGGCCCCTGCCTCGGCTACAGGGAGAGATGCTGGAGGGGGGATACTATCCTTCCCCTGCCTCTGTGTCCTCCGGCCTCATCTCCTCATGCGCCCTGTGCCCGGGGTCTGCTCTCACCCCCTCCTCCCCGGGACCCAGCCCTGCTACCCCTGCCCTCGGCAAAGCAACTGCTCTGGGGCTGGCGGAGAGTACACCAGCGTGTCTTCCCCCCTCGCTGCCCGCCCATCTCTGACTCTGTGCAGGGGCTAAAACCAAGAACTGTCCCAAAGACTGGCTACGCTATCAAGCTGTCCCAAAGACTGGCTATGCTATCAAGGCAGCTGCTATGGTTTCTTCCCCCAGAAGATAACGTGGGCAGAGGCTGAGGTGAGCGCTGGGGGGTCTGGGCGCGGGGTGCTGGGTTGGGATAGGATTGTCCAAGGGATGGGGACTCTGGGGCTCCCTGCATGGGTGGTCACCACGCTAGGGACAGCCGGGCTGCAGGTGGAAAGGGGCTGGCTGCCACGGGCCCCGGCATGGCCCCAACGTGGGCTCCCCATGGGAAATGGCTCCTAAACTGGGCTGGACCAAGCGCAGTGCCTGGCAGCATGGAGCGCAGGGGTGTGCCTTCACCCGCCTCTGCCAGGGCGAGCTGCCCTCCTCGGCATGGCCGGGAGGCACCTCCATCCCTCAATTGCAGCCTGGGGCCCCTCACGGCACCGGGCACTCACCGCCTTTCTTTGCAAAATGCACAAGGAGCTGCAGGTAGTGGGGCCTTCCCCATAGCACACGGCAGCACCCTGGGCACAGCTCTCCCCGGTCTCATGCCGTCGGCCACTCACCCCATAGCCACCCTCCGGGAAGACCCGGGCACCAGCTTCCCAGCGGAGATATGAATCTTGTCAGTTCTCCAGAGGGCAGAAACTCTCCCTCTCTGTGTGTGTATGGACAAGGAATGGCTCCAGGAGATGCCTGGGGGGTCTTGCCAGGCACTGGGGTAGAGGGTGGACATAGAAACAGGGGCACAATTGTTGGTGAGTCTGGACCAGTGGTACTGTACCGGAGCTGCTCCCTGGCTCCAAGGCCCTAGGTGTGAAGGCTATGTTAAAGACTGACTGGAGATGGACAGTGACAGACAGGTCAGATGGGGCATACAAGGGGCATTATGGCCCAAAGCCTTGAGTAAACTGAATGGGGAATGTGGCTTCAGCCGGTTGTTCACAGAGGAGAAATCCAGAGCCAGGGAGCAAAGGCAAGTCAGAGCAAGGGTCACATTGTGCTGAGGGACGAGGTTTCGGTTCACGGACAGAGGCGATGTGCAGCCAAGGGGCTGCACGCAGTGTGGGACAGGACAGGCTAGTGCAGGGAAGGGCCCAGGGGCTGGAGGGGAGCGGCTGGGGGAGCTCAGCGCTGGTGCGGGGGCACTTGGGCAGAGGGGTCTGAAGTGCAGGGGAGGGAAGCAGCTCCTTCCTCCATTCACCCTGGCACCAAGCCCGGGAGAGGCAGCAGCCGGCGCCCCGCTGGCGCTGCTCCCCCCCCTCCCGGCCCTGGGAGCTGCAGACACAGCTGGCTTCCTCCTGTCACAGGCGGCGTGTCGGAAGCAGGGCCGTGGGGCCCATCTCGCCTCCGTTCTCAGCAGTTCAGCCACAGAAGTCGTTGCCGGATACATCTCCAGTCATTACCCTGATGGGAACGTGTGGATCGGGCTCCATGACCCTCGGCATGTGAGTGCTGTGGCCCCTGCCCAGATGCCCTGGCCCTCCCCAGCCCTGGCTGGCTCCTCTCAGTGCCCAGGATCTGTACAGGGTCCCTGTGCAAGGGCTGCCCAACCCGGGGCTTCCCTCTCCCCACTGCTCACCCTTGGGCAGTCATGAATGCAAGTCCTGGGGCCGGTGGATTGCGGCTCTGCCCTGCACAGGGCCGGGCTGAGGGTCCCTGCTGTGTCTGGTTCCTGACTAATGACGGTGTCATGGAAAAGCAAGAACCATCCTGCAAGCAGCAGCTGGAGCAGTGGCTCTTTGCTGGGGCCAGAGTCAGGCTCCCTCTTGCTCTGTCTCCTGACCCAGGCCTCTGCCTGCCGCTGCCCAGGGGAATGTGGCACAAGGCGGGGGGTGCAGGGCAGGGCCACCCCAGTGCGGTGCCGGCTGGGGGCTAAGGGCTGCACTGGGAGGGAGAGGGTGGGCTTAGCTCCTTCAGGCTGCGGGGAACAGCCCAGGTCTCTTCCTTGCTGGACAAGTGCTCTAGCCCCACAGCTCTGGTGCCAGCAGCAGGCAACCCCATCGCAGCCCCTGGGGTTGAGCATGTCCGTGGGCACTGAGCGCAAGGTGAGCCGTGGGAGTTAGGGGCGCCAGCTGGATCCTGCCCCCGGGACAGTGACTCCGAGGCTGTGCTTGTGCAAAGGGCTGAAGGGACTGATGCACTGAAATGCCTGGTGCAGGCCGTACGGGGCCGTTGTGAGTGTGGGAGCAGCTGAATTCAGGGGCTCAAGGATGGCTTTGCCACAAGCCAGAGCCATGTGCAGCCGCTCGGACACCGAAGAGATGAGGCTGGTTCTGTGCATTGGCCGCGTGCGCCGAGGGGCCTGAATCCTGTTCAGGGGCATGTGAGGCTGGACACTTCCAAGAGAGGTGGTGCTGTCACCTAACTTGGGGGTCTTCAAGAGGAGGCTTGACAGTCACCTGGCTGGGGTCGTCTGACCTCGGTCCTCTTTCCTGCCAGGGGCAGGGGGTCAGACACGATGATCCATTGGGTCCCTTCCAACTCTATAATCTATGAATCTATGAACTTCTTGGCTGTCTCCAGCCCTAAACAAGGTCTGTGTGCCAGCTCCATCAGTGTCCCAGACCCTGAGCCCTGACCCAGCCTTTTGACGATCCCCTGTCTACGCCCTTCTCCATCTCTCCCCACACAGTACAGGCCATTCCGGGTGTAATGATTTTTGGGGGAGCCCATAGTCCACTAACTTTTCCCTCCTGCTTGCAGAATAGAGTGTGGACATGGACAGATGGCTCCAGCTTCACCTACAGAGCTTGGCGATTTTGGGAGCCTAACAATTGGATGTGGAGAGAGTACTGTGTGGAGCTCCGACATTTTGGGGGTAAACGGGAGTCTCTGGCTCTAATGGCAGGGCAGCCTGCTGCACAGCCCGGCTCTGGGACGCTGACCAGGAGCAGGAACAGACCCTGCTTTCTCCCAGGCTTTTTCTTGGGCTGCAATAATTGACAGGATTTACGTGAGTGTACACACGGACAATATGCAGATGCACACGGAGACCATCTGTCCTGGGGTGGGTGACCGGGGTCTGTGAAAGGGCACTAATGGCCATGAGTAGCTGTGGTACCACTGTGCTACTAGGCGGTGCTGAAGGCTACACAGGAGGACCCAGGCTCCTTCATCAGCTGCTGTTCACTAGTGGTGTACAAAATTTCAGCATCTGTTTCATTTCAGAGGTGTTTGGGGCCTTTTGGCACCCAAAACACTGAATCCGAATTGAAACAGAAGGCTCCAAAACACTTTGAAAATGTTTCAGAGAATTTTGGAGTTTCGGAGCTGGGAAGAGGGCAGGAAGGACTGCTCTGCTAGTCACATCTAGCTCCCGGTTCAATTCCCCCAGCTCTCTGATTGCTTCCCCCCGCTCTTTCATGGGCACAGGCCCCCCGGATCCACAGCAGGATGATCTTACAGCTGAAGCACTGAAACAGTGTCAAAACTCTGAAATAGATTCAGCTGAATCAAAACAGAACAGTGATCCGAAACACTGAAATGAATCGCTGTCCCTCCGAAATGCCGAATACAAAACTGAAGCGAAGCATAGCCATTTCACACAGCCCTACTGTTCACCACTCTGTGCTAGAGCTCCTTGCCCCCGGGTGCAGAGCAGGTAGAGCTGTGAAAATATGGATTCACACCATGGTCAGGGCCCGGGAGCTGGACTGGCTTCTCTGTGTGAGGACGTCGTTCATGGGCATTTGTAGGGGCACGTTCTGGTGTTTGTGGAATAGAGACATGGACACAGGCCACGTCCTCACCAGAATGAATAACAAGAAGTGCAGCACCCAAAGGTCAGTCCCCTCTAACCCTCTCAGCAACGGACCTGCCATCCGCGGCTGACCGTTCCTGGCCAGTGTCTCCATCAGCCTGACAGGGTGGTCTCTGCATGCAAAAATGACGGGACACTGCTCTGACACCAGGAACATAGATACATGTGGCAGGTCACTTCCACCCCACTGGGCACTCCATCACTGACCACAGGGCAGCTGTTCTTAGGCATCGAACTTTTCAACACCAATTGAATGGGAAATTGCCGAGCAAGAAATCATCCAGAGCCTGGACTGTGTTAGGTGGGGTATAAACAGGGGTTACGAACTCTTACCCCATCCCCTGGGTTAGCTTCTGTGACCCGGTCTGTGTGTGTGGGTCGGTGGCTTGTTTGCTTCTCCCAGCACTGTCCCTCTCCTGCCTCTTCACATCTTTTCTGTTCAGATCAGTCCTCCACTTTCTACCCTGCTCCATGCTGCCATCTCAAAGCCTACACAGAAGTTAACTCGCGGTCACCAAAGCTTGTGCTTGCTGTATATCTAATTTAGTTATATCTACACCGCCTTCATCTGTGCAAATGTGCAGGGGTCTGGGACTGTGCAGGAAGGTGAGTGCATGTGGTGGCATGTGGTGAGTGCATGTGGGTGCAAACACCCTCGATTCTGGCTGGATAGAAGAGACAAGGAATCTCCTGCACGGAGAAAGAAAGAGAGAAGCCACCATCAAAGCTGTGACCGCAGGGAGGTCTGAAGAAAAAGAGAGAAAGAGAAAACAAACCGGTCCCTAGGACCTGATTGCAGAAGCCATGGCTGGAGCAGTGCTTGGATGGGGTGTGTGTGTGCATGTGTGTGCAGGGGCCAGGCACTGACTGCACTGTGCGTGTGTGTGCCGGCATGAAGAAGCCAGGAGACAGTGCGAGACCCGGGGCGTCCTGCCCTGAGCCCATCTGGAGAGAGGGCTGGGGGTTGGCAGCGTCCGGCTGGAAAAGCAGAGCTGGACACGGAGCAAGGGAGCTGTGCGCTGCTGTGGGATGGCGCTGGGTCCAGGGAACAGGACTCAGCGCAGCTTCCCTGCAACGACACTGTAATTTCTGTGTTGTCTCCTAGGATTTAAGAAATGGAACGATATTGACTGCAAGAGACAGAGAGCCTTCATCTGCAAGTACCATCTCAAAGCAGGTGGGACAACTTCTGTGCACTGCAGTCATGGCCAGGCCCTAGGGGTGGGTGTGTCATGCCCCTCGCACATGCAGAATCTGCTGCCTCAGGAGATAGTGTTTGCCCATCTCCCTTGTGAGGCTGGATCCCATGGCCCTTGCTGTGGGGTTGCACTGAGGCTTGCTGTGGGTGTGAAACCTCTGCTCACCCCTCCCCTGCCCCGTGTCACCCAGGCTCACTCTCTCATCTCCCAGACATGGCAGTGTAATTGCAATGGCCGTGAACACTCTCGCGTGCAGGCAGCTGCCCGTGTGTGAATGCGTGTCACCTTCCCCATTGCCCTCTCTGCATGGGCAGGCCCCCCTTCCTGCCCCGTCCCCACCTGGATGGGGCAGGATGGTGCTGCCAGGGGCTCCTCGGGCTTGGAGCAGGCTT